CGGTAGTGCCAGAGGACCGACGGGTGGGTGAGGGACCGATAGTCGCACGACACAGCAGCTGCGTGACCTGACCTGACCTGGCCTGACCCAGTATGGTGGGACCCAGTGTGTAGTGAGTACAGACCAGAGCCCGGCTCCTTGTGAAAAGTGGCCAGAGGGGCCCCAGTGGCACCGACTGTGCAGGAGGCAACAGGCTCGTCCAGTGGGAAAGTAGTGACTACACCTAGGTCATGGAGGTGACTGACACCCACCAGGTTCTTGGAGAACGAGGGGTTGTAGTAACCTGTGAGAAACCCGGAGGGAGCCGCCGAACACGGGAGAGTGGTGGTGCTGCGGGCAACTACAGGTCCCACAGAGGGGTCAGCCAAGGCGAGAGTGACTGGAGTGCGCAGTGGTGTGAGGTTAGTACAGTTGCGAAAGAAACAGCTGGACGCTCCAGAGTCTAGGGTGAAGGAAAGCTGTGCAGTCTATGAGGTCGCACCCGAGCTAGCGACAAAGGCCGGTGCTAGACTAGTGGTAGCTGCAACTCCTACACAAAGACCCTCAGAGGCGCCTGGACTGGAAACAACACATGCACCAAGACTGGAAACACAGGTCTCTACTCATGCAGCCGGGAAAGGTCCTAGACTAGGTAGGTGAGACTCAACTGGTGCAGCAGTGCGCTGGCGAAGACGCGAGGGCCAGCGCGGTATAATAGCGTGAGGACCAAATCGCTCACGGTGGAGGTCGTCGAGTTGACGGTAGCAGCTGGACGCAGAGTGGTCAGGACTCCAGCAGGTAGTGCCAGCACCAGGGCCTGTCAGGGCCCGTTACCCGCAGGGGCCGACGTCTCGCCCACTGCTGGCTGAGCCACTGCTGGGGGCGCCACACTTTGGACCCGCAGGTCCCCACTGCCGGGCGAGCTGCGGCTGGCCCTGCTGCTGTAGAACTATAGTACACGCCATGTGAGGAGCTAGAAACGGGGGGGTACGCTGGTGGTAGCCTAAGCTGCTGCTGGTGCACTGGGGGCAGCCTACGGTGCTGCTGGTTCTGCTGGGGGCAACCTAAGCTGCTGCTAGTGCGCTGCGGGCAGCCTATGCTGCTGCTCGTTCTGCTGGGGGCAGCCTAAGCTGCTGCTGGTGCGCCGGCGGGGCAGCCTATGCTGCTGCTGGTTCTGCTGGGGGTAGCTTAGGCTACTGCTGGTGCGCTGGGGGTAGCCTATGCTGCTGCTGGTTCTGCTAGGGGCAGCCTATGCTGCCGCTGGTTGCGCTGGGGGCAGCCTATGCTGCTGCTGGTTCTGCTGGGGGTAGCCTAGGCTGCTGCTGGTTCTGCTGCGGTCAGCCTATGCTGCTGCTGGTTCTGCTGGGGGCAGCCTAGGCTGCTGCTAGTGCGCTGGCGGCAGTGGAAGCTGCTGCTGGTTTTACTGGCGGCAGTGTAAGCTGGTGCTGGTGCTACTGGCGGCACTGGAAGCTGCTGCTGGTGCTACTGGCAGCAGTGGAAGCTGCTGCTAGTGCTACTGGCGGCAGTGTACGCTGCTGTTGGTGCTACTGGCGGCAGTGGAAGCTGCTGATGGTGCTACTGGCGGCAGTAGAAGCTGTTGCTGGTGCTACTGGCAGAAGTGGAAGCTGTTGCTGGTGCTACTGGTGGCAGTGGAAGCTGTTGCTGGTGCTACTGGCGGCAGTGGAAGCTGCTGTTGGTGCTACTGGCGGCAGTGGAAGCTGTTGCTGGTGCTACTGGCGGCAGTGGAAGCTGCTGTTGGTGCGACTGGTGGCAGTGATGGCTGCTGCTGGTGCTACTGGCGGCGGTGTAAGTTGCTGCTGGTGCTACTGGCGGCATTGTAAGTTGCTGCTGGTGCTACTGGCGGCATGGTAAGCTTCTAGGGAGGCGGGTTTCAGCGTGGGGCGGCGGTTTCAGGTGTGGGGCGGCGGGTTTCAGGTGTGGGGCGATGGGTTCAGGTGTGGGGCGGCGGGTTTCAGGTGTGTGGCGGAGGGTTTCAGGTGGGGCGGCGGTTTCAGGTCGTGGGGACGGTGGGTTTCGGGTGGGGGGACGGTTTCAGGTCGTGGGGACGGGCAAGGTTGCGGGCGACGGGTGGGGAAGAGCGTGGCTAACGGCTGAGACGTGCGCGCGACTGCTGCTGTGCATGCGTACGGTCGCGGCGTGCGTGCGCGCGGCTGCGCGTGCGGCTAATTCTGCGCGTGCAGCTACGCGCGTGCGACTGCTGCGCGCTAGCTGGCTGGCGGGCCAGCGCGGGGCAAAAACAGGTGGGGCGCGAGGCAAAAAACGGGTGACGCGCGGGGGCGACGGGGGGCGTGATCTACGGGCGCTACGGGGGCGCGATCTACGGGCGATTGGGGCGCGATAGGGGAAGCTACGGGGCAGGGCGCTTTGGGCTACGGGGCACTACGGGAACGGGTGGGGGGCGGGAAGGTGGGCCCTTAGGATCGTTCGCTCTATACCATGATGGAAAATGTGAAGTACAACCCTAGATATAGCGAACCCAAATCATGCAAGGAAATAAAAATGTAACACGTAGACTAACCTAAACAACACATATAAAATATATGTTGACAGTCTTTCCTCCTCACCGACCTTGGTGAGCGGCCTTGCTCTTGTTCGCCGACAACAGGTCTGTTGTCCTGTTGTGCGAGGAGCCTCGACTGGTTGGGAAGGCGAAGCACATCCAGCTTCGTTACTTCCTTCTACGAGAGTTGCAGCAGCGTCGCCAGGCACTTGTACGACGAGTGGTCTCTGAGGCCAACACTGCAGATATCTTCACGAAGGCGTTGCTGCCTTGTGACCACCAGCATTTCTGCACCCAGCTCGACCTTGTGTCTATAGGCCCTCACTTGCTTGCGTAGAGATGCTTTGTCTTGTACTCTTGCATCTCACTATATATCCTATATCTCTGCTTGTGGACTGGCCTTGTGGCCTCTTGCTTCTGTAGAGATGCTTGTCATGCATGTCTTGTACTCTTGCATCACTTATACTTGCTATATACTCGCATGTGGACTGACCTTGTGGCCCCTTGCTTGCTCTCGGAGTGTGTGGTGACTTTGAGCTCCACCCTAAGATTTGCCTTGTTCTTGTGGACTGGTCTTGTGACCCTTGCTTCTTCTTGCTGCCTGGTCCTGTGACCCTTGCCTGCTCTCAGACTGTGTGGTGTCCTTGGGATCCACCCTGAGATATGTGTTGCTTTCCACAGGACTACCGTCACATAGACTATGGGGGTGTGTCAAACTATATTTTTTCTAGTTTATGTGTGTTAGTCTAGGTGTGTTACATTCATGCTTGGGCTAGGGTTAGCATTTCCTATATCTTTCTTGTTTTGTCATTCCTTAGTCATTCTTACGTTTTCATATCTTCACAGGTGGTACTGTGACTGGGGGTGCTGGAGCTGGAGGTTCTGGTTCTGGGGGTGCTGGAGCTGGAGGTACTTGCACTGGAGGTGCTAGTTCTGGAGGTGTCGGAGCTGGAGGTAGTGGCACCAGAGGTGCTGGTTCTTAGGGTGTTAGTCCTGGAGGTACTGACTCTAGGGGTTATGGCACTGGAGTTCCTGGTTCTGCGGGTGCTAGAGCTGGAGGTACAGGAGACGCAGGTGCTGGCACTAGAGGTGCTGGTTCTCGGGGTGTTGGAGCTGGAGGTACTGGCACTGGAGGTGCTGATTCTGGGGGAATTGGAGTAGGAGGCACTGACTCTGTGGGGCCTGCTCAGGCAGCCATCTGTTACCTGACGTATTTTCAGCATCTTCGGCAGCTGGAGCAAGAGGAGCAGGAGCGGTTGGTGTAGGAGCGGTTAAAGCTACGGCAACAGAAGCGGCAGCAGCCGCCGCCGCAGCCACAGTAGCAGCTACTGTTGTCCCCACCTGTGAGTGGTCTTTGGACCCTTGGTCTCCCTTCCACCTGCACATGGTCTTCCACCTCTCAAAGTGTCCTCTGCTGTTTCTTCTTCTTCCTCTTTTTGTCGTCCTCCTCCTCCTTGCCCTATGGTCTTCCTCTTTCTCCTCCTCCTCCTCCTCCTCCTCCTCCTCCTCCTCCTCCTCCTCCTCCTCCTCCTCCTCCTCCTCCTCTTCCTCCTCCTCCTCCTCCTCAACGCTCTGTTCAAGAATCTTCCACATTTCAATTTCGTCTCGTCCCCCCTTGGTTACCTTCCACTCTTTTCTTTTGAACCACACTACTTTTCCAAGTCCCTTCCCTTCCTCCACCCTTCCCATCCCAAGCTCTCACGTCCTCCTTCTCCCAACCCATCAGTCCCTCAATCCCTCATCTTGAATCACAGCTTCCTCAATCCGTCCCTTTGTCCGTCCCGCCCTCCCTCTCCGAACAACCTTGCCTCCCTCCTTCCCTGAAACTCTCACTCATCGTCCTTCTCTCCCTCCCTCCCTTTCTCTCCTTGCCTCCGTCCCTCTCCCTCCATCCGTTTGGGCCCAAAACGGCCTTGTGCTCAGCAGTGCTTCTCAAACCTTGTAGAAGCCCGCAGCATCTGTAGGCACAGGTGTTTCAGTGCCAGAATACATTTTTATCTTGTTCCCTCCCCTCCCTCGCACAGAGGGCGCAAGGCCGTCGGTGCAGGGAGAGGCGCTGGAGGATCTGAGTGTGCACCTCGCTGCTCGTTTTTAGTCGACTCAAGTTTTTTTATTTCTTCCTCCCTTCCCTCCCTCGCACAGAGGGCGCAAGGCCAGGCGTTGCACGGTGAAGCGCTGGAGGATCTGAGTGCGCACCTCGCTGCTCTGCCTGCCGACACGCCCCTCCCTCCCAGCCACATCTTCTGCCGCGTCACTGCTGCCACCCTCCAGGTGTGACCTTCCTGCTCTACGCGCTCATACCTTCACCGAAACATGTCGACGGCTCGGGAACGCACCCTACTATTTCTTTCTTGCAATTTTGACACTCAGCTGCTGCTTGAGATGGACATTCCTGGCATGTGCATGGTTTCGAGTTCTCGCATGTACACAGGCGTGCATGCATCTATGTGTCTCTCACATGTGCCCATGCGCACCCACCTGTTTCCATCCCGCCGTGCAGGCCCATCCGGACACCGACAGCGTGTGCGCTGCCTTGCAGATCCACCCAGTGAACGAGGTAAGCCTCACCCGCATGCCTGTAACTTCCTGTACACTAATACAAAGAACCGTTTGAGGTAAAACTCTCACTCACACCTGCCTCTCACTCACACCTGCCTCTCACTCTCACTCACACCTGGATCTCGAACCCAACTAACCTACCTGCGTTATCTGCAATCCACTTCTCTTTCCCTTGCCTCGACTCCCACCTGTTGTTCTTCAACTTTCAGTTCTCTCCCCACTTTTTCTCTCCACCAGTCCGAGGCAGCAACCTCCCAAGCAGCCATCACAGCTGGAGCACAGGAAGCAGCTGCGGCAGCAGCGGGAGGGAGAGGGAGATCAGACGCGGGCGGGGAGGGAGGTGCGGGTGCTGCAGGGCTGATGTGGGGGCGGGAGGAGCAGGCAGTGATGTTCTGCAAGACGCTCACCGCCAGTGACACGTCCACCCATGGTGGTCTCTCCGTGCCTCGCAAGGCCGCCGATACCTGCCTCCCTCAACTGGTACGCTGCTGCTGCTGCTCCTCCTCCTCCTACCCCTTATCCTCCTCCTCCTGCTCCTCTTTCTCCTCCTCCTCCTCCCCCCCCTCCTCCTCCTCCTCCTCCTCCTCCTCCTCCTCCTCCTCCTCCTCCTCCTCCTCCTCCTCCTCCTCTTCATCCGCCTCTTATTAGCTTACCTCCCTTCCACTACCACCTCCCTCCATCCCAATTACCCTCCTCCCCTGCCTTTCCACCTCCCTCTCTAATCTGTTGATGAGTCTCCGGCCATCCTTCCCTCGTTGCTTGCCCTCCCCCCTTCCCTCCCCTTGCCATTGTGTCTGGCCGTTTTCTTCCTTTTCCTGTCAGTTTTGTCGTAGCCCTCCTATCCCCCCTCCTTGTTCCCATCACATACGTGCATCACTATTCTCCACCGTTCTTACCCCATCTGCTCTCGTTGTTCCTCCTCAACATTCTCTCCTCATTCTGCCACTGTTCTCTACACCCCTGCTTCCCTTCTCACCTCCCTTACCATCTTCAATCAACCCATCCTACCACCTCACCAGGACATGACGCAGGACATCCCCTCGCAGAGGCTGAGAGTCGTTGATATCTACGGCAACAGCTGGATCTTCCGCCACGTGTACAGGGGCTCGCCCAAGCGGCACCTACTCACGACCGGGTGGAGCGCATTCGTCTCCAGCCGAGGGCTTGTGGCGGGTGACAGGGTTCTGTTCGTGCGGTGAGGCAAGGGCCCTTGGCTGTTCCCTAGGTGGCTTGGTTGGAGGGTGGTTGGGGAATAAATATGGCTTCTTGGCTCAGCTGAAGACTCTCAGCAGGTTGATCGTGTTTATATCTCCATGTGGTGCCGTGTGCTCGGAGTAAAAAGGTAGCATGGAGGATGGTGACTCGGGTCAGTGTCTTTATCCTTCTGGGTTAGCGTCGGGTGACTCGCAGAGCGGGTTTGTTTCTCTGTTTCACCACTGGGGGCAGAAGGACAGCAGCGAGTGCTCCATATCAGCCTCCTCCAGTTCTTCTCAACCTCCTTCCCTCTTCATTTTCCGCTTCTCTAGTGCTTCCCAGCGTCCTCTAGCTAAACATACTCCCTGTTTTCCATGCCCTCTCCGCCCGTTCCCAATTCCCTAATACCAATTTCCCCCGCCACCCACTCCCGGTTTCTCCCCTCCCAGGGGCCAGGACGGTTACCTCAAGGTCAGCATCAGACGGAAGACTGTGCCACCTGTCGCCACGCCATTGGCCTACGGAATGTTCGCGAGCGGCACGGGAGGCAGCAGCATGGGGGCAGGGGGCATGGATGTGGAGGGAACGGTGCGCATGGCCACAATGGCCTATGAGCGCCGATGCCCCTTAACTGTTGTGTTCCACCCTCGGTGCGTGCCGCGGTGCGGCCTCTTGTACATGTGTGTGTTGCATGCCCATTGCTGCTCCTCGATGGTCCTCCCTCCCATATGTAGAGACCTGAAGGATTCAGTCAGTCAGTCCGACGCACCAGAACAATCACTGACCCGACACGACTATTACCCACTTTCACACAGTTTTTGTTTTTGAGTTGCAGCCTCTTGGTGCCCTTGCCTAGTACTTGTGATGCAGCCTCTTCACTTATTCCTCTACACTACACACACTGGTTGCCCACTTCTCTCGCCCTATCGCCCTGCAGGCTGCCGGGCTGTGCGCCCTTCCTCATCCCGCTCTCCGCCTTCTGCCTCTCTCTCCTGCGCAAGCAGCACCTGCGCTGGGGGTCAGAGCTCCGAGCGCCCTTTGAGGCTGAAGACTTCACCATGCGGAGGTGAGTGCGTCACCAACGACATGCCTATCATCACGAGGAGGTTTTCTATGCAGCAAATGCTGCCTGCTTTCTACTATCGTAGTGGTGGTGTAAGGCCTCAGCATAGGTTGCTTGCTCCTGTGCTTCTCAATACAGACCTCTCATGGCCAATTCGTTCCCTTCCCCTGCCCCCCCCGTGCCTTCGTTCCACCCACCAATGCCACCGGGGCTGAAGGCTGCGAGGCATAGTGGCAGGAGTGGGGAGCACCTCCTCTGTGTGGCCGCTCTCGCAGTGGCGCTCAGTCAAGGTCAGTCAACGCTGGTCATGGTGCTTGTTCGCAAGCGTAATCCCACTCACTTCCTATCTGCATCCTGCCCAACACCTCTCCCATCTGCTGCTCCTCTCCTTGCACCTCTATCGCTCGCATGCATTGCTGCTGCACCCCGCCTGTACCTTTCAGCAGCGAGCATCAAGTGCATCTCTGCTCTCTTGTCCTCCTTCCTTCACCTCCTTCATCCTCCTTTTACCCTTTCCCCCCCCTCCCCCCCCCCCCCCCCCCCTTTCCACACTCTCCTCTCTCTTTGCACCCTCTTCTCTCTCTTTCTTCCCTCTCCCTCACCCATTCCTCCTTGTATCCTCCCCCAACCCCTCCCTCCCATCCGCCAGGTGTCTTGGTCGGACTCAGACCCTTCGCTCTGCAAGCCCGCATCCATCTCCCCGTGGGACATCTCTCCGCCCCGAGAAGTCCCCCCCTCCTCCTCCCTCCCCCTCCCCTCCTCCCTTCAAACCTCCGCCTCCACCACCGACCTTGACCCCTTCACTTCCCACCACCACCGCACTCCACACTTCCACTCTCCCTCCTCCTTCCCTGCCCCCTCCTCCCCGCCGTTTCGCTCCCCAGCTTCCATCCGCAGCAACCACTTTCAGTCTTCAGAAGAACATGAGGGGTCCCATCGCCGCAACTGCGCAGACTCTCACACGCACTCTCACTACCACACGGCCCGACATGCACACAGCCAAGGGCCCATGCATCCACAGACACGCCAAATGCATAGTAGCCCTGCCAGCCACGCACCATTCGATAAAGACATGCATACCCCTACTTCTCAACACACTCTAGATCCATCCTCTTCCTCCTGGCCCTCCTCTTTTCCCCCATCGTTCCCCTCGCATCCTCTTCTCCTCTCCCCCACCATGCAACGCTCCCCAGGCAATAGCCCTCACGCCTTTCCTCCTCCAGAACGCACTGAAGCAGTTGTTGCTGCTGACACAGTGGCTAGGATCACTGGTTCAGCGGACAGGCCGCTCAATGAGCAAATGCCACGTGGAACCTCCTCAGAGGCCGAATGGCTAGCCATTGGGCAGCAGGGAGGAAGAAACTTGCCCGATTGGCTAGACGGGGTGGAGCGGAGGAGGGGTGGGGAGAAAGCAGAGACGGGAGAGAGGGAAATGGAGAGTGAAGACGGGGAAGAGGATAGAGCCAAGGGGGCGAATGAGAAGAGGACGAGGGAGAGGAGGGCGTTGGTTGTGGTGTATGGTGAGGGGGGGCTTGGGCGAGAGGAAGAGGTTGTGGTGGGGGAGTGCAAGAAAGCAAGACTGGGTGGAGATCTGGAGGGAGATGGAAGGAGGGGCGAAACGGGAGAGAGGGGTTGTGTGCTCAATACAAGCCAAAGCCCTTTGTCGCTGTTTCTCTCCCTCGGTCTTGGGCATGCGGAGAGTGAAGCCAAGAACGCGCTTACGCGCCTAGCACACATGAGTGTTCCTCCTCTTCCTGCTATCGCCGCAGCTGCTGCTACTACTGCCATTGCTCCAGCTCACACTCCTGCTGGAGCTGTTACTGTTGTACCCACCCCAGGTTTGTCAGCCTCGGTTGATGTCAGTGGCAGTGCGGGGGAGGGCCCTGCGAGCACTGGTGCCGCGCACAGAGATGCCCGTGGAAGGGAAAATCTCCCTGGCAGGGATTCTCCTGCCAGGAAACTGTCCAATGAGGGCTCGCCAGGTGGCAGGAGGCCAAGCAATGAGAGCTCGCCAGCTGACGGGAAGCTGTGCGCTGTGAGCACGCCAGGTGGCAGCCAGCGGTCAGATTCGTCCTCTGTGAAGCACGAGCACCAGGAGCAGCGGCAGCAGCAGCAGCAGCAGCCAACACAGCAGCAGGGGCAGCAGGAGCAGCAGCAGCATCATCCACCGCAGCAGCACCAACAGCAGCACCAGCAAGAAGAGGACGAGCAGCAAAGCTTAAGAAGGATGAGGGTAAAGGTATGGGCGTTGAGAGTGAACGAGAGTATGTTGTTGAACGTTGTCACCTTCTCCCATCACCAGCCACTCTGGCATTCACTCACACGGGTCCAAGCAAGGCTGCTCATGTCATCTCCTATTCCACCTCCCATTCAACTTAAACCTTTCTTCCTCCAAACGCCCCTCTCTTCTCCCTCACGTCCCCACAGGTGTTCAGAGAAGGGTGCCTGATTGCGCGCACCGTGTACCTCTCGCTCTTCTCCGACTTCCCCGCCCTCCATGCACACATCGCTGCCATGTTTGGCCCGGCGCTCAAGGCAGGCAGGGAAGCGAGGGTGCGTGCACACGGCACCGAGGCTAAGGGCACTGGAGGACAGGCTAGTGGAGCTGCTGCGGGTGCTGCTTCTGGTACGGGCGGTGCTGATACTGCTAGTGGCACGACAGATGGTGGTGACGTGCTGGCAGGGTGGCGCTTGGTGTATGAAGACAGCGATGGGGACACGCTGCTGGTGGGGGACGGAACATGGACGTAAGTGTGCTTCCACTCTTCCTTTCCGCTCCCTCCTCTGATTCCTTCTCGTCCATCTCGACTTCCTTTTAAAATCCTCTTACTCCTCCTCCTCCTCCTCCTCCTCCTCCTCCTCCTCCTCCTCCTCCTCCTCCTCCTCCTCCTCCTCCTCCCCATCCCCCTCCTCTTGAAATGTCGATGTGAAACATGTGTGGTGCATGCCTTTGACAAACTTCAAAGCACATCGTGGGTCCTGTCACCGCGAAGCATTCCATGGCAGCCAGAGTGACTCTGCATCTGACCTTCCATGTATCGACTGTCATACACGTGTAGAAAGCTTGTGAAGCTGATAAGATGCATCATGGTCTATAATCCCTCCCCTTTCCCTGTCCCCTGCTCACCCCCTCCCCCCACCCTCCCTTCCCATTTCCTCTCCACGAATTTCCTCATCAGTGAATTCTGTAAGCATGCGCGGGTCCTCCGGCTTGTTCAGAGTGAATAAACTCTATATATGAGGTCTTTCATGCTACCTTGCCTATCATTATGAGCTTCCAAGACTTGAGGTGTTTATGATAGTCTATCTTATGATGGAGTGTGTGATACTTACATAAAGAGAGTACTGTTTATGACGACCAAGGTGCCAATGTAGTAGCAGATTTTATAGAGCATTCAAAACAGAGGCAACAAGAACGGTATGGTATGAGGATAATTTTGAACGCGCAGTCAACATCCGCTCTGAACAAGCCCCCCTTGCAACACACATTTTCTCAAAGACTAGTTAACTTAGGCAACTAAGATAGGTAGGGAGAATGATGCTCAACTAGGGAAAGGGGGGGGGGGGGGGGGGGGGGGGTTAAGACAAGACTCTTCAAGGAGTCTGCAGAGCAGTCGTCATAGAGCAGTCGTCATAGGATTTCAGATCTCAATCATACAGCACACTAGATTGCAGATTGCAAAAATGATAATGACATAGAGAGACGTACCGTAAATAATCTAGGCATCACCAGTATCGACACCAGTAAATAATAACTACAAAAATGATAATGACGTAGAGAGAAGTGCAGAAATGCTGATGATCACCAGACCCAAGGGCCTTGGTGAAGACATCAGCAGTGTTGGCCTGTGAGGCCACGTAAGCAAGACGAAGCTGACCACGCTGCTGCAGCTCTCGCGTGAGGAAGTAACAAAGAGCAATGTGCTTCGTTCTGTGCTCCAGTTCTGTCGATGTACAGAACTGGAGGAGAACGAGGCCGCTCACCCAAGTCGGTCAGCAGGTAGGTCAGCCAGCGGAGCTCCTGAGCAGCCATAGCCCCAGCGGAGCTCCTGAGCAGCCATAGCCCCAGCGTAGATCTCGGCCTTAGAGCTGGAACTAAGTACAGAAGACGAGCGAGTGGACCTCTACGAGACAGAACCAGTGCCGAGGCTGAAACTGTAACCCTGTGTCGACCGGTGAGTCGTCTGGTCGTCAGCCCAAGAAGCGTCTGAGTGACTGGTGAAAACAACTGAACCCTCTCCCCCAAGCACAATCCCCATGCCTGATGTACTGCACAAGTAACGCAGTACCCTCTGTGCAGCTGTCCAGAGCTCCTTCCGGTGTCTACTGGGCGCAACGTAGCGAGCAAGGAGGCTGAGAGGGTACGCGAGGTCAGGTCGTGTGCACGTCATCAGGTACATGAGGCAACCCACAAGCTCTGGATACGGACCACTCGGCTCTACGGACTCGTTCAAGGTGGAGCTGAAAGCGAGTGGCCTGTAGGCAGAGGAGTGGGCTGTGGCGAGGACCACAAGAAGCCGAAGTGCTGAAGGACCTGTTGCACCATGTGTGACTGAGTCAGGGTGATGGTGCGTCGTGCTCTGTCCAGGGTGATCTGCAAGCCAAGATAGCTCCGCAGCTCACCCAGGTCAGTGCAGGTGTGTCTCTCCTGCAGCTCCGCCTTCACTAGGGCCAGTGCCTCTGTGTCAGCAGTAGCAAAAACCAAGACGTTGACGTACACGAGAACGTAGTCCTCAGTGTGTCATGACACTCATGGGGTGCCTGACGCAGACCATACACTGGCTGCCGGAGGCTCCACTGGGTACCCTCAGGAAACGACCCAGTGAAGCCAGGTGGGCGGCGCAGCCAGATAGCCTCGTGAAGGCTGCCCTGCAAGAAAGTTGTCGAGAAGTCGAGGGAGTGCAGCTCGTAGTCACGCTGTGTTGCAACGTGCAGTAGCACCCGAAGAGTGGTCATCTTCGGGGTGGGTGAGAAGGTCTGGAAGAAGTTAACCCCCTCACGCTGACTGAAGCCTCGTGCAACGTAACGCGCCTTGAAGGCAGGCGGAGAACCCGGTGGCCGCTTCACCCTAAAAATCCACATGCCATCGACTATGTTCGCCCCAGGTGGGGGAACTGCGTCGACGTAGGTGCCTGTGGACTTCCAGGAAGCCATCTCTATGTCCATGGCTATCTGCCACTGAGAGGAGTACGGACACGTGATCGCGTCTGCGTAAGAACACGGGGTCGGGATGTCCAGTGCATCCGGGTCTCCCTCAGGGCAAAGTAGCGTGGACGCGAGATGAGGTGCAGCGGCCGCTAGGCACTCCAGCTCAAACTGCATCACAGCCAAGGGCGAGCTCACCCCCGATGGACGGAGGACAGGAAGAGTAAAAAACAAGACTCGCAGCATAGTCAAGGCGGCGCAGAGCAACAAAGTCAACTATCTCAGCAACTAAGACAGACGCAGCAGCAGACTCAAAAGTAGGGTCAGTCACAACCATGGCAAGAAGACGAGTGACAGTCGGACTGGCAGTACGGACAAGGTCAGACTCAGGGTCAGGAACGTGAGGAAGAGAAGACGCTGGAGGCAACGGCAGGACAACATGCTGTGGAACAGAGGAAGGACGCCAAGTGTGCGTGCCAGGGACAGGTGGAGGACGAAGACGCACAGCACGACAAGTACGGACAGGCGTGACAGAATGCGACGCATGCTCTCTACTCTCGGTGAGGGGCTCTGGCACCGTAGTGTAAGGAGCAGGAGCAGGCAGTGGGGAGTGAGGCAGTAGCTGTGGCTGAGACTGGTCAGGTGGTGGAAACAGTAACAGAGGAGTAGTGCCAGCAACAGGGAACTCAGTAACAGCAGGCGGTAGACTGAGAAGGTGACGAAGCGCAGACGGCTGCGGCTGAGTAGTCGCACCCCCAAAACCTCCAGCTCTAGTAGTAACAGTACCCGCATAACCAGTACCTCCAGCTCCACCACCGGGACTGCCCCACTGGACAGCCCACTCGCGAAGCTGCTGCGGCGAGAGCGACTTCTGCCGACTAGCACCAGGACCTCTAGCACCAAGGACTCCAGTACCTCTAGTTGCACTTCCAGTGTTAGCACCTCCAGTGCTAGCACCCCTAGAACCTCCAGCTCCAGTAGTATCAGCACCCCCAGAACCAGTACCTCCAACTCTGGTACCATGTGAGAACTAGGTGAAACGGGAATGAGTGGATTAGGTCAGGGTTGGGGGTACAAGCAAGAGTGTCGAGGTGAATTGTGTACCCCCTAAGGCTAGCCCCTATAAAGCCTAGATAACATTGAACACATATGTTTTGACATTTAATGGGTAAACCAATGAAAACTATCTAAAGGGTGGGATGGGAGGGTTCTAGTTGTAGATCTAGAAATGAATTGGACTAGGTGGCAGGTCCGTGGACCTGCCACGAGATAAAGAGGTTGTGACTCCTTACTGCAACCTCCTTTACAAGTCTTGTCATAATCTTCAAATTCTGAAAATGTATTTAGCAACCTTTCGAGGATGTTAGCCAGTTATTTGAAGAGGGCGAGGACGTCAACGATAAGCCAGGAAGTGACTTAATCGTAGCTGTTCAAGTTTAAATTAGTACCAATGTTGTACATAGCACAAGGTGACGTCAATGCAGGGTGGCCCGTTGCAAGCATGCATGTATGATCGGCTCTTGTTTAGAGTACTTGTTCCAAAGCACGTGGATCTGACAGATGCGTCGTAACCGTAAATGACACCTTGTCGCCAATTAGTTAGCATGTTGAATGATTTGGCTAAATAAGGACAACGACGTGGAATCCTGAATGCGATGCAGCCTTGAGGGATGAGGCTAAAGATTAGTGGCATGTGACTGCAGCCTCGAGGGGTAGTGAAACACATACAAAAAATCTGCCATACAATATGTGCCATACATATCGCTCGCGTAGCCAGTTCACACAATGGAATACTATTGGCAGGGGGATACATTATCTTTGAAACAACCAACGTCTAAAATTTAGTTGTGGGTGCACATTGTACAATGCATTATTGCAGCAAAAAGCATGCATGATTGATGCTGCTGTCCGTGGAAGTACAGTGGCACTGCGTGCATAGGGATAGAGAAATGGAGGAATATGAAGAGGGCCTCGTTTTGTTTTCGAAATCGAACGCCTAGTACGAAGTAGGAGTTATGCTACGCAAACCGTCGTATGGGAATTCTTATCAAACATGGTCATTACCATTAGAAATCGACAATGCTTCATCAACAAGCATAATCAATGAGTCTGAATTGGCGAGAGCGAGATAAGCGACCCGCTTTCAACAAGATCTACGTATTGTGTAGAGCGGAACGCTCCGTATCACATCTGTGGTAGGCAAACGCTTGCATAGATGCAAAGTGTGTGCGTAATATCACAACAATTAACTGATATTGCCACAACGTGTCCAAATACACCATACGCCACCAAATAAAGCTGAATTCCATCAAAATTGTATCGATTAGATATGGCTAAGCCAAGACATGTCAGTGTTGTCCGATAATTGATAATATATGCTGGAGACTGCTGAAGGCAGCCCTTCAGGCATTTTTTTACTCGGAACGTAGTCGGTCTCAATGTAAAAGCGTCAAATACTTGACAATGATGAGTATTAGCATGTGTATGAGGACAACTGTTGATTAAGGCAGCTCGTGTAGACCGTAAACACCGGATATTTACGGTTTTTTCAGCACAAAAATGCTAATTGATTAAAAACAATTAAGTTGTCCGTGCTTGGTACATGT